ATAAATAAATAATATTAATACCATTATATTTTACAATATTTTTGTTTTACTGTATTTTTGGTCAAATAAATGCAGCCTTGGTGAACAAAAGAGACTTCTTTCAATCGTATCATTAACCCCAATGATGACAGTAGTGTATATTGTTCATTGTTAATTCACGCTTTTTTGTTGTACAATAAATGTTAATACTTAAAATGTTAAAAATTTATATATGTAGAAATTAACATTTATTAATCTAGGTTATTGTTCATTGCTATGTTAAGATAATACATTATTTAAATGTAGGCCACTTGATTGTAGTGCTACTCAGAAAAAATATGCAGTATATATATATATATATATATTTTTTTTTTGCCTCAGCAGCGAAATAACAGTCAAACAGACGTCCTTCACTCATGCTCCTGTTGGTGATCAAGGTCGGCACGACCCTGTTCTGCTCAGCGCTCTAAGTGCTCTATCAGACAAAGTCAGGTTGTTGAGGCACAGTCCAGAAATGCTCACAGCTGTTTTGAATCGGTTACAAAGCGAATTTCAATCCAAAGTGAACTGCACCAATTCCCTCTAGAACAACCTGGAGTTAAGTGCCTTGCTAAAGGGCACAACAGCGATAGAGCTCTCTCAGCATCGCTGTGGTTCAGAGGTTCGCCCTATCTGGAATTCAACTCGACTTCGACTTCTGCATTACCAGCCCAGAAGCTACTAACCTCTACCATGTCAGAGCTGCTCTCATTGGAAAGAGACTAAAATATTTCACAGTGTTTCCTCATCCATGAGAGACACTCTACACAAAAAAATGACCCGGTATGTGTGCACTGGTGTGTGTATGTGAGTGTTTATGTATATGCGGGTGGCTGCTCACACTGAGGTAAATGGAGTGTGAAGACTTTTCCTCCCCAGACATTCGTGTCTGTCTCTATGAGATCTGATTACTCAGCTGCAATAGTTAAAAATGCATGCATGCACACACAAACACACCCTTATATACAGGAAGTCGGGTAGAGTTGTGGTGTCAGGGTGGATCTGTGGAGCCCAGGACACATGCATGTTTTTTTTTTGTTTTTTTTTGCATCCAGACCTCACACATACACACAGGACACCCTCAGAGTTTTTCCACTTCATGTTAAAAGCGCTCTGTTTAATCTGGTGGTCTGTTGCTTCAAAACTGACTTTGACTCTCTAAGAGCCCATCATTTCCAGCTAAACAGCCAGAACACATCCCACTGGAAAGACAGGAAGCATTCTACTGGAAACCCCCCGAAAAAATGAAGTCAAAACATTTACTAACTAAGAGACTAAAGTATCTGTTCCACTCCCAAAAATCTCTCAACTTCAGGAATTTTGCATTTACACAATGGCAATATATCTTTAAGAAATTAAAACATTTCTTCTGCTGGGTCAAACTCCAGCTGTTGGAACCAAGGACTGTTAAAGGAATTTGCAGTGGGGATCAGTGTGAACTCTTTAGTGCTAGCAAATGTTTTATATACAACAATGAATACTGATTATAATTATAATATTGATCCAATATTTGTTCTTCCAGTTTTATGCAGCACGTTTTCTATTATACAACAGTTAGTTCCTGTCCACCAAGAATGCTGATAGTGGTGGGGATTTTTCAGTAATTCTTTCTGCAAATTACACCAGCAGGTAGATGTCTTTATGAATAAGTCAATGAATCATTCAGTCAAACGATTCCTTAAAATACACTGACTCATTCACGAATGAAACAAGCGACTGTTGCTACACTCTAAAAAGTGCTGGGTTATTTCCAGTATCACACTTGCAATTAGGGCTGGATAAGGCAATACCGTTTATATTGATATACAGTATAGTTTGATGTTACGAGCGCTTCTAAAAAATAGCAGAGGACAGTGTGAGTTGCCTCGAGGAAAGTGTAAAATTGTCCTAAACATGAGACATGGTTTATATTAAGGGCTTCAAAAAACTTGTAACATAGTTGACGTGTACAGTTAAATATACTATGTTTAAGACATCACAATATGAGTTGCTTAGGTTAGAAAGCATCTGAAAAGAAAAAAAATATCACACAGAATAATCTGAACCAGCAACACATCCCACAACATTTAAATTTATGCATTAGGATACTGGATAATACAGCAAATATTGTAGAGAATACATTTATAGACTGTTTTTGAGGGGAGTACAAGGTTTTATATATATAGGGGGTTCAGGGATGTAGACTGGACCATACAGGACTGTGAGAGAATCCATGTCAACTGTAAACCTTTAGAAACCTATTATGATATAAATCAATGTACTGAGACAGAAAGAAAGGGAAAGAGAGCGAGAGCAGTAGAGAAACAAATAGGACAGTTTGTTGCATTTTGTCGGTGAGACAAACACTATGGGGACACAAGAAAAATATGGAGTCAGCACAAACCCCACACATACGCGCGCACGCACACACACACACACACACACACCAGTAGACAGAATTG